GAGGGGGTTGGGGCTGTGGAGGATATCAGGTGACCCCTCTTGGAGCGGGCGGTCAAAAGTGGGGAGGGAGAGGGAGAGGGGAGTTACCTCAGGGAAGATCTTCATTAGTGTGAGGCGTTATCTCGGGCCGGTGGAGAGGAGAGGCGGGAAGGGAGAGGGAGGGGGGCGCTACCAAAAGTATAACAACAAACCAGTTTTCCCTGCCTGTGCCGAGGCGTCGTCCTCCCTGTACACACGGCCGGTCCAGGTCCAGGAGCGCGGGGATGCAGCTGCGCGGCTCCTGCTGCTGCTCCGCGCGCCCCTGCTCCGCGACCAGGTCTTATCTGCTTCATGACGGAGCCGTTTCATAACAGGCGGGGCCCAGGAAGTCATGAAAACGTGTGCGAGTGTCTGCGTTAGTGTGTGTGTGTGTGTGCGCGCGCAAACATGTCGCGTCTACGTTTATTCACTGCACTTCATTGCTGCTGGGCAAAAAGAAAAGGCTTATTTTATAATTACTATCCTCGCGCAGTCACGCGTGACAACAAACGTGGAGGGAGCAGGTCTTAATTGATCCATTCGTCACGTGTGACGTGTGTGTGGGGCGAGGCAGGGCTGGGGCCGTTAGCGGTCACGGTGTGCTCGACCGGACCGGAGCGGGCCGTCACGCTGCTGGGGAGGTGACGACGACGACGACGTCGCCGACTGCCGCGCCCGCTCCTGGAACACACGGCCTCCTTGAACGTCACACAGTCGAGTCGCGGAGGACAGGTCGGGGACCGCGGTGGAGCGATGATGCACCTGCAGTCGCCCGGGCCGGGCGGCCGTGGCCGAGGTGGCAGCTGGCGCAGAGGGGCAGCGGGGCGCGGCGGGGTGGGGCGGGGCGGGCGCTCAGGGAGCCAGCCAGCCTCGAGACCACCCAGAAGAACGCACCGCGCGCCCCTCGCCGCCCCGCTCCGCCCCGCCCCGGTGCACCGCGCCCTGCCACGCACATCAGCTGTGCCGTGGAATAGATTCCCTCGGTTCCTTCCTGGCCGGGCAGGGCCGGCGGGGCCGGCGAGGCGCATCCCCTGACCCCGGCGGCCCAGCGCCCGCCCTCCTCGCCCTCCTGCCTGCGTTTTGGCACCCGCGGCGCGCCGCCAGCTGGCGCCGGGGGTGGCCGCCCCCGCACCGCCACCCACCGGGGCGCGCAGCAAGACCTTCCAGGACGCCGACGGGGAGGTGCCGACCCTTTTCGCGCGTTAGCTTCCGGCCCGGGGGAAATTAAATAAATATCACGAGGTAACACGGTAATGACGGTAACGACACCCGGGAGGTCCTCGAGGAGGTTGAGGTCCTCCCCGCGACCACATAACGGGTGGAGTTCAAGAGGCCGGGGCGAGCTCATGACTGCCGTCTCGCGCTCCGCCGCGGTGTGCGGCGAGGACCTCCCCACGCCACGCCACGCCACGCCACGCCACGCGCGCCGGGCTGGCGACACACACCGCGAGAGAGGACCGCGACCGCCCGGCCCGGTCGGGTCGAAGCACTCTCCTTCACCGCCACCAGGGGCGGGGCGAGGTGGAACGGGGCGGCTGTTTTGCCGTTTTGCGCGAAACTGGAGAGGAGGTGCGGTGGCCTCGCCGTCGTTGATTTACGCGAGGCTCTCGGCTGCGTGGCGCGGCGCGGCGGCACGGAGGCCTTTACACGGCGAAAACAGTGTCAGCTGATACGCGCTGTCATCTGCTGCTGCGCCCCGCCCCGCCCCGCCCCGCCTCGCGCCTCGCTGGACCGGCAGCAGCAGCGGTGGCCGCGGCGCGCGATGATTCATTCAGATACGGATAAGCAGCACCGACGGCTGAGAAATATTTCGGAGAGGAATCTGAGTCGCTGGTGGTGTCGGTGCCGCCGTAGGCCAGCAGTCCCGCGACCACCTCGCGGCTCGCGGGTATGATACGGATGGATGGGACGGCGGCGGGCGAGGCGACCGTAACGCGCGAGGCGGGCGATAGCGCGCGAGGCGGGCGATAGCGCGCGGAATGATGACCTCTTACTCACTGTCCGCGTGGGCAAAGGCGCGGGGGGCGGGGGGCTCGCGGCGGCGCGGGGAGGAAAGAAGAAAAATACGTGAAAATATTGGCGATGCGCGGAGACCGGTTGTGTTGTTGGTGGTGTGACCCACTTCCTTTAGGGCGGCTATGCAGCACCACAGACGTAGAGGCTTTGTAAGGAATATATAATGCCGAGTGTAAAGGCTAATACCCCCCCAGTGTTGC